CACAGAAAAAGATCGATACTCATTAGTTTTTGCCAAGACCTACAGAAATACTCAGTTTTGGCTGTATGTTTCCAAGTTAATAAAGTAATTGTCTATGATACTTTGTTACTTTTTTTTTGATCTGATAATACTCATAGGAAGTGTTAACTTTCTATAGCTGAAACACAATTGAAACCAGACCCTGTTAATGTACTCTATGGGTTTCATCTTTTTTCACATAAACGAGAAAACAGATATGAAGCAGGGTTACTGATCTGTGGCTTTTCGGAGGTGCTTTAATACACAACTTAATCATGTATCTCCTCTAACTCTGAGACACTCAGCCCAAGAAAGATAAAAAAAAATGATTTATTTCAACATTTTAAATTCCTTATATATTTTTCTCTTTTAATGTGAAGATGTTAAAAAGCAGTTGAAAATATGCCCTTAATTTCTTTCCAGAAAGAAAGAACTCCCAGAAGGTAGGGTGCTCAGACCGAAATATTTGTGTCAATAGGAGACTTTGTTTATGGGGGTAACTGTTTTCAATACCAAGCCAGGTTGTCTCCAGGGCATTAGTCACTACCTTCTATAAAGTTAGGCCACTAGGGTATTATTTGGAACTCCTAGCTGGGTTTGGCTTCATATATGCAAAGTACTGCTGATAAGTGTTATTGCTGGAGGCCCCTCAATGGTATTCTCATGGCTTGAAAAGGGTTAATATAGTTCCCTAAGTGCCTCATTAAAAAGGCCCACTGCAGACTTCCCTCTCTGCAAACATCTTTACAAATCCATAAACCAGATTTTGCTGAATCCCCTCATAAGGAAGGTTAAATGAAAACAAAGCTCAGGTAAAAGACTTTTGTAGGCTTAAAGCCAATGTTAAGAAGCAAATACACTGCAAATCTTCCATGTTGAGAGAGGTTTAAAAGTAATAAATTACAATATATATTTGTAATTCATGTGTTGATAATTTTAACATACTGTTCTGGAAACCTTATGAGGAAAGAGGCAGCCCACAGTTATCAACCACAATGAAGGGAAGGAGAGAAGAAAGGCAGAAAGGAAGGATGGGTGAAATTTTATTTCCGGACTCAGGGCTCAAGAAAGAGGCAAAGCGTCCTCATGTACACCAGTAGACGAGTGAAGACTGAGGAGGGAATGGTGCCTGCTAAGAAGTTCGTGTTTTCCCAAAGGATGTGCACCCAAGCAGTCAGTCTGAAGCAGGGAACAGAAGTGGGAGTGACTGTTGAGAATGAGCCTACATTCATTTTGGACTCGTGTTATTTGGTCTTTAGGTAAAAAGCTCTGGAGGAAAACAATGGAAACACTTTCTACCATGTGTTTTGGGGAAAGTTAACCAAGTTGTGATATGTGATGAATTCTCTTAGTTAAAAAAGCAGTCAGACTCATTTTTGCCAAAATGCTTCAGACTTCTGGAGCTTATTTCAATTTTCTGACCATGTAGAATTGAAACTCAGCTGATAAAATGTTCTAGTTTGAATGAAATAGGATAGTCTTTCTATTTTTTAATAAAGGGAGAGGGGTAAACTCCCCCAAAATGATAACTAATGAATAATTCAGCCTCAGTCAAATGATGAAAAAAAAAGACTTAAAATACATATATCTGGTAAATACTTATAAGACATGCATCAATGCCACACTTCATATGTTAGCCTGTCTTACTTAATGTGCCTAGTGTGCCAAGGCAGCAGATGCTTACAGATAATAACTCAGCATTTTGGAAAGTCACCACAATGATACCTTTATATTCACTTTTCTATTATCATTGATATTAATAATAATGTATTTCAGATTTGCCTGAACATATATCTATAGTCTGATTCTCAGATGACTTCTTCACATTCCATTTTAATGATGAAAATAATCGTGAGTTAAGGTATTTTGCAACATAATATTTTTGGCAGAGTTAAGTAAAAATTTTGGAATCTTTGAAGTCTTAATCTTGGGTAATACCTACTGTTTATTGAAAATTTAGTGTGCCAAGTACTTTATTTATATGTAATCCTCACAACATCCCTGTAGGCAGGTAAGGTATTATCATTAATGCCCCCTTTTAACTAGTGAGGAAGTTATGGTATAGGTTAAATGATTTGCTAAAAACCACTCCATTGGTAAATGGAAGAGTGAAGACTCAAACTGCTGATATAGACATAATGCAAGGTCCTTTTTTAGAACTTAGATTAAATTCTTCCCATATGTTCTTAGAATCACATAAGCAAAAAGAGACCTTAGAGTAAAACCAATATTCTCTGTAACAGTCCTGGTGATTTACTTTCTACTGGGGTTTTTCCACTGAAGAGAGGGCCTCATCACTTAATAGACAGTCCATTCATGTTAGAAAGAATCCTTAGAGAGTTTTGTCCATAGCAGTCAATTTTGCCTCTCTAGAATGTTCTTCCATTCATATGGAGCTTCCCTCTTTAAAGCAGTGTTAAAATGCAAATTCTTTTTTTTTTTTTTTTTAAGATTTTACTTATTTGTCAGAGAGAGAGGGAGAGAGAGCGAGCACAGGCAGACAGAATGGCAGGCAGAGGCAGAGGGAGAAGCAGGCTTCCCGCCGAGCAAGGAGCCCGAAGTGGGACTCTATCCCAGGACGCTGGGATCATGACCTGAGCCGAAGGCAGCTGCTTAACCAACTGAGCCACCCAGGCGTCCCCAAAATGCAAATTCTAATTCAGGAAGTCTATGATGTACCTTGAGGTGTTGTATTTCCCAAAAGCTTTCAAAGCTAGTGCTGCTGGTTTCTGGACTGCACTGTGAGAAGCAGGTTCTAGTACATCTACCTCCATCCAGTCACTTTAGATAGCCATCAGACAGGTTTATATCTAATTCCTTTTTTTTTCTCCCCAAGTTAGAGCGCCATTGATTCATCCTGTTTTTACCTCATAGGATAAGTTCATTAGTTGGAAATCTACCAGAATTTAAAGCATATATATATATTTTTAATTTCATTTATTTATTTGACAGACAGAGATCACAAGTAGGCAGAGAGACAGGCAGAGAGAGAGGCAGAGAGAGAGGAGGGGAAGCAGGCTCCTGGCCAAGCAGAGAGCCCGATGCGGGGCTCAATCCCAGGACCCCGGGATCATGACCCAAGCCGAAGGCAGAGGCTGTAACCCACTGAGGCACCCAGGCACCCCAAAGCATATTTTTGATGTAACCAGACTATGGCAGACACCAGTGAGTTCTGCATTTCTTGAGACCATAAACTATTAGTGTAGCCTGAGTAGCTTGGTCTTTGTTGTTAGTAGCCAACAACATGAAATGAGCTTATAGTCAAGTAAATCTATCCAGAATTTCCTTTTTTTTTTTAAGATTTTATTTATTTATTTATTTCACACAGAGAGAGAGAGAAAGAGAGAGAGAGAGAGAGAGACCAAGAGAGGGAATACAAGCAGGGAGACGGGGAGAAGGAGAAGAAGGCCTCCCACTAAGCAGGGAGACCAATGTAGAGCTCGATTCCAAGACCTGGGATAATGACCTGAGTCCAAAGGCAGACGCTTAATGACTGAGCCACCCAGGCGCCCCTATCCAGACTTTGAAAACCAGGTACTTAAGCTAATTTGTCACTTTTATCCTATATTCTCACTTAATTTTATGTATTTTTGGTCTAGGTGAAATACTACAGTTATATCTGTAGAATTCTATCTTGTTGGCTATAGCCTTCTTTTCTACCTGGAATTTTATGGTTTATTGGAGACATCAGATTCCAACTTTGTATAACTTCAAACTTTATTAACCTACGTTCATAGTGTTCAACTGGGTATCTGAAAAAAAAATTGTAGACACAGAGACACCACAAGAGACCCCCACCTTCATTTATTAAAATCTTTTTAACTGTCATTTGGCCAACTATGAACCTACTAATGTATAAACTGGGATGCTGATTAACTACAGTTTTTACATATTTTCTAAAAGAATATCAAGACTGAACTTAGATTAGTACAACAGGACTCTTCACCTTTTTCTTTACCTTCTGAGGGAAGGAATTTGTCAAAAATTGGTCAAGACAATAATTATCCAGAACATTTAGATGTAAAATATGAGAATAAGTCCATAAATGGAAGCCTTTTATATTATTGCATCTTGACATTCTGTCAGTAGATTTTAATAGTTAATACTGTAGGCATTGATGATATGATTATTGTATTATGCATTAGTTAAACCATTTACTGTATTACCTTAGAAAAGCTGATCTCCCATCTTGCTCACTTTCCTCTTAAAATGGAGACAGCTAATAGGCTTGATATAAAAATGAGTAAGAATTTACAGCTAGGGCTGGCTCATACTAACCATTGGAAACTTCAGCTATGATGATAATGATGGTAACCATGATGTCTGATATTATTTTGGAGACCCCCCAAGGAACCATACCTCACAGTTCATACCCTTGTATACTCCTCTCATCTTGAATTTGGACTGGGCATTGTAACTTAAACCAAAGAAAGCATGGAAGTGATACAGAGCAATTTCTCGGTCTAATAAATCTTAAAAAGGTATGGAAGTTTCCATTTTTGTGCGTGAGGGATGCCACCTGCCACATAAGAAGTCTGATGACCCTGAACCATCAGAGAGAAGCCCAACCCAGCCACACGGAGGAGCTCTTAGTCAACACCCAGCAATAGCTTGCCAGCTACGTGAGGTACATTAGTACCTCTCCATAATCCACACACCTCCCTTGTCCTGGTTCATGTGCCCAGCCTGGGTCTGAGTTCTAGCTTCCCCCACCCTCATTCAACCAGGAACAAATCCAGATAATACATAACAGTTCACCAAATAATTTCAGTAATATATTTTTCTTTCTGATGCACATATGGAAATCATTTACTGAAAATGATTTATGAGTGTTTTGTGTTTAATAAAAATAATGTGACTAATGTATCATTTTATTTTTAAAATAGCTGAAAATACCTAAAAATACAAGGGCTTATCACATAGTCTGGTGAAGATAACCTCATGATAAAACATCAAAAACTATGTAAATTCTTCCATCTTACCATTTTATATTCTTTCCAACCTCTTTGGAAATCTAGACTTCCATCTTCACGATGTTGTATTACAGTCCAACCTCCTCCATTAAGATCCATATTGCAAAATACCTGATAGACACAGGGAAAATAAAATCAAGTGAAAATTATGTCTGTTTTAAAGAAGCAAGTATCAGATTATGTTTCAAAGTGGAAATAGGATGGGTAGGCCTATAGATAAACTGAATAAAAATTACCATGTTGAAAAATGTTAATTTAGATACCAGTTATTTTGCTTTAACATTAGAATTGTTTCTGTTTAATTCCATCATGTAACATAAATTACTTGTAAAATTTAAATTAGCTGAAAATTGCCTTAGTCTCAGATCATAAAAATTTTTTTAAAAATCTGTGTCTTAATGGTAATAGGCAGTTATGTATGTTCATTTTTTCAAAATGCTATCTAGGTTTCTAAAACTATAGGCCGTTGTATTGCCAAAACATAAAACTCAGAATTTTTAAGTTTTACTTAATTAAAATGGTGGTATAATAATAATAAAGGTTTTGGAAAAATATTTTTTTAAAAAATCATATATATTTAGCTATTACATATTTCATTGCACATTAACTCCTACACAGTTACAAACTACAATAATTATTCTTGATGGCTCAGTATTAGATTAGAGGCAAAATTTGGTCCACAGCATATGGAGAACATGTTATTTGCTTGAATTTTCATCATGAATAATAACAGGAGAATATGACATACTGTATTTCCTTTGACTGCAACAAGCATTTCTTCCCCATGTGGAAAGTTATCCAATGCTTTCAAAGACTTATGCTCATTTTAATTATTCTAAAACAATAGTATTTATTTAGAAATTGATTCATTTCCCCCAGAGTCCACCCAAGGAGAGAAACATATCTATAATGGGATTATCTTTAGAGAGTAATCACTGTAATTGACATAGCATGGATATGGCAGTTTGACTATTCAAGGTCCCAGCCATGGAGAACACCATTCCTCAGGGAGTTGATGACTAAGGCATTTCAAAGGCTGGCTAAAGGTGTAGATATGATGCAACAGCAGCAGACAGGCTGTGCAGGCACAGAGCTCAGCTCTAATTAAGGGAAAATCTCAAGTGTTTTCCCTGAAGCCCTCAATTTGGAGCACAAATGGCTAACAGGTATGAAAACAGTGGCAACAACTGTCATTCAGAGGACAAATTGTCCATGTACTTCCTCAGAGTGAAAGGAACTAGGAGATCCACGCCTATTTGTGAGCATATAAATTAGGCAAACTGCTCTCTAGAGGGCTCTTCCTCTACTTTGACAACAGTCACGCATCAGTATGTCTTTATTGTGCCTACGAATTAACTCACCTCCAAGATTATAAATTGAAATTCCACTTTCTGTCCCAAGGTCCCCCTTGACTAATCCCTAAACCATTTTGTACCCCTTCTCTGCCTTCAACACAATCTCTAGTATTTCTTCCTCCTCAATTCTAATTGATTCATTCATTTGTTTTTTACTCAATTAGCATTGTTGGGCACTGATTCTGTTACAGTTAGGGATACTATGATGAACAAAATATGGATCTTGGCCTCAAAATGCCTGAAAATTTCAATAGTGACTGTTTCTGTAGGCTTAAGGAGATGTAGGAGTTCATAATTTTTAGCTCCAGTGAGCTGAAGAATGATATAGACAGTGATCTAAATGAAAAACTTAAGGAAAAAAATCTAACAGACGAGAAAAAAAAAAAATGATCATAGTTTTGGACACACAGAATTTGAGGTAGTGTAGTCAACCAAAAGGGGATTCATCAATCAATTGGAGATGATCTAATAGGCATAGACCAAGAATAAGAATGTGGATAATAGAGGAATAAGAAAGGAATCACCATGAACAACAGCATGCTTGCTGTTAAGTGCCAGATAATTTAAACTCTTCATATGTATTTTCTAACTTATTTCATGACAGTGATGTATGTATGATTATTATCCCCATTTTTCAGATGAGAAAAACAATTCTTAGAGTGTTTAAGTATCTTACCAATGGTTATTATTAATAACAAATCCTGGATCCAGGATTTGAATCCTGAATTCAAAACTGTTTTGGGAGTAACCTGCTTGAGAGCAGTTAGTTGATAACGTGAAAATGAATTATTTAAAGAACTAAAAAAAAAGTGGTAAGAGATGTATATGTGCAGGAAGGAGGAGGATCCAAAAATGGACTTTGGTAAACTGATGGAGGTAAAATACATCAATAACCTTTAGGTAGGCATGGCCTTATATTTTGTTTGTCACTATCCCCAGTGCCTAGAACCATGCCTAGCCTATAGCTGATACTAAATGAATATTTGTTGAATAAACAGAAATGCAAGAAGGAAACATAAAATAGGAAAACCTGATTAATAAAATTGAAGCTGAGGATGACTTTGATTTGGGGAAATGATCCACTTAATCAAATATTCCAGAGAAGTCAAGACAAATAAAGATTAAGAAAATACACACTAAATTTTGAAATGAAGGAGTCGTTAGTGACCTTGAGGAGACAGACTGCAGGATTCCTATGAGAATAAGACCCAGATGGCACAGTTTAAAGAGGACATAGGTGGTGATCCAAGATAAGAGGTCAAGGCGGAACTTTACTGGTGATACTTAAATAAGAGTCAGTGAAAATGTCAAGGAAACATTTTGCTAGAGTTAACAAGTATCACTTGATTCTTAAATTTTTACCCTGTCTTGACTGGTTAATTCAGAATTCTTTTCCCAGATTTTTCTTAATGGACACTAATTACCTGGAACTTTGCTAACCTGAGTTTATAAAACTATAGAGTCCACTTACATACTCAGGGAAAGGAATAACTACATTTATAAATATCTAATGTGCAGAAGAAACTATTCTTCACAGTTTTATTATTACTATTATCTATATTATTCGAATTCTATGCACTTAAAGTTTTAAAATCATTCACAAATTTTAGAAAAAGGCCAATTTCCTTTTAAACAAACATATTCAGTGACTTGAGAATGTTAAGATGTGCTGAGAACATTTCTTAGATAAAGACTCAGAAAGAGGGGGAAGCCTGGGTGGCTCAGTGGGTTAAAACCTCTGTCTTTGGCTCAGGTCATGATCTCAGGGTCCTGGGATCGAGCCTCACATTGGGCTCTCTGCTCAGAAGGGAGCCTGCTTCTCCCTCTCTCTCTCTGCCTGCCTCTCTGATTACTTGTGATCTCTGTCAAATAAATAAATAAAATCTTAAAAAAAAATAAGAGAGAGTTGGAGCTACATGGGGAGGCAGAAGTTCCCCTGGAGGATTATGGTGTTGGAAGCGGGGGTACAGTGAAGGTAAGAAGTTGGACATATGCTCCACAGTTCCTATCGTGACTCAATAATAGCAGTAATAATAATAGCTGCCATTGTGGAATATGGTCACAATAGAGCTGAAGGACATATTGTTTAGGGGCATGGACCTGGGTACCAAATTATCAGTGTTCAAATCCCAACTCTGTTCTATCACTTAGGTCTTTGCAAAGACTAAATGAGTCAATGCATGTAAAATTTTTAGAATAGTGCTTGGTACATAATAGGCTTTGTCATGACTCTCATTTCTTAGATGTATTTTACATATGAGATAGTAAGTATTTACATTATGCATTATATCCTCTGTATATAATATTTTATACATTGTAGCACATTTTACTATTATATTTACTATGGCATATAATTTATCATTTATAATAAGAATAAAATGGAATGTACTAAATAAAAAAAAAGTAGTACTTCAGTAAATTGTCCTTAAGATCACTAGCTTAATAATTTATTAATATATTTTATATAACATATATTTTATATATGTATTTTCTATATTTATGATTGATATAATAATATATAATATAAATATAAAAATACCAACATCGATCTCTGAGCATGCTTCTTTTTATTATATATCTATTTAAGAAGTTGGATTCACTCTAGCCAAAAAAAAAAAAAAAAAAAACAAAACCCCAAAACATGTTATTTCTAGTCAGAAGAAAAACAAAAAAAGCCTAAGCTTAACAGATGAAGGAAGTTTAAGAAAATAGGTGGTTGGTTTCAAAAGATCTGAGACATGAAAGGACTTGAAAAGTTCATTCGCCAGTATTGTGTGGTCTGTGCTATCTGGCGGTGTCCTTCCTGGAGACAAGGGCCCTGCTACATTTACTATGCCTGTTGCATTTATTGATCATATGACTTGAGCTTAACTCTATCCAAGAAAAGATTGAACTGGCTCCTATCCCAGGCAAGGTCAAAGCTTTCAAGCATTAAATACCTTTTAACATAATACAGAGATTTAAACCCAAACAAAAAGGGGAAATTTGATTCACATAGTTCTTACGGTTTTATGCGCCATACAAGTTGGAATGATTAGGCTTGAGGATGTTAATTATTTTTCCATAACCTTAACTAAAAAAAGAGGCTCAACACATTTGTTATGGTCCTTTCCCAAGAATTAGGGGACTCACAATTCAGAAACAAATTTTTAATATTTTATAATAAGCAGAGTTTTTATTTAATGGTTTGAATTTTTGGATGAAACTAAACCAGCTATAAAGCATCTGGTTTTAGAAACTGATGAGATAAAAGGAAAAATCCTCTCTCCTACTACTGTGCATTGAAGGGAATTCAGAGAGAAAACCACAGCCATTAGTAATATAAAGGTAAAAAAACAAAAACATATATGATTTAATTCTTATTTTTGATCTGCTTGAAAAATTAAATAGTCTTAGAAAACCGCCTTCATTTCATTTGAAAAGGTAACACTTATTTTCAGACATCACTTCTGGGAAGGGAATGATGTCGGTTAGAAAAATAAATGTATACCAATTCTGCATACATGCAACTTTTACTCTGCCTACAAGATGAATACTTCCTAATACTCTTTGTTAACTGCCTTTGTTAACGGCCTAAATAGTCCAACTTTATTGATTGGTCCATAGCCCATATCTTACATATTTGAACTTGTTTTATTTTTTGTAGGCTTGCCTTGAGTTTCATACCCTCGCTAGAACTTCTCCAAGCATAACAATAAGCAAAGCTTTTGCTAAGCATATCCAAAGGTAGCACCAAATTTTATATCTACAAAGCACAATCTACTTGGAAGAGTGATGAACATAAAAATGCATTTTCCAAGCATTTTTTTACAGGATTCAGAGAATTCCAATGATTTATAACAACGCAGGAGAAGAAAATGAGATTACAAGGTAGAAGGGACTAGGGTAGTTTATAATCAGAACATGAATCGATCTTACATAATTTTCTGATAATAAGCTCTTTCCTGTGTCATTCATATAGGTTCAGATTAAAGAAATTGTAAGTGGTGCAACTTTAGCCACCACTAACATAATTATCTCATTTAGTCCCCTGCTAAGAGATACAGTCTGGAGTTGATGCCATTATTACAAAGCCTGTGTTCAATATCTACTAACTATGTGACTTGGGCAAGTTATGTTTCTAAAATGGGGATAATGGGAACACCTATCTGATAAGAGTTACTGAAAATAGTAAACAGGTGAGTTTTTACTTCTAAAGTGCTTAGAATATACCTGGAAAACTGTAAATGCATTTGAACTACTGTATTAACTAACTTCTAAATTATACCAGGAAAAATTTGCACAATAATTTTTCTTACTAGTGCCATGCTAAATAGATATTTTAAAAACTGCTATCTATGAAAAGTGCAGGTTTATCAGTCTAAAGTTCCCAGAATAGAACAACATTACTACTTGTGGGAGGATCCGTGATCATAAAGGGGAAAGAATAAAACCAGGAAGGAACACCTAAATTAGGAAAGCCTAATAAGTCTTACTTCCTTCTACTCAGTGATCTCTCCCTCTCACCATGCTCTATTGACAATAAAACTAAAATCCAATGATGGTCCTAACCAGATGCCACATGAGCTTTTTTCCTCCGAAAAGCTTCTTACCTGCTCAGGCTACTGTTTTTTCTTAGGCCCAAACCTTAAAGTTTAACTGAGCAGATAGCTGACATTTGTGAATTTAGTATTTTAGATTTCATTTATGTAAGAACAACCCTGAAGCTCCACCACATGCAAAATCCATCATTTTGCAGAGGTATAAGTTTAAATAATGCTATCCTGATGAAACCAACACAGGAGTCTGCTACTGAACTAGTGAACTGGATCCTCTAACCCACGTTTTTATGTAAGTATTAAAAGCAAATTTGTTCACGATTATGACTTAGGATAGTATATCCTTTCTTCCATCCTAACAGGAGCAGTAGGTCTGCAAAGAACCTGTGCGTCATTTGTATCTCAAAATGTTTTGAACTAGCATAGTTCATTGAATTAGCATAGTTCATGGTTATTGAATTATGAATTAAAATTCATAGAATGATCAAAACTTATTTGTAATGTCCCCTTTGCCAAAACCTGGAGCCACATGGCAGGACTGGGTGATGGAGTAAAAAAGATTGTGAAAGTGTGAATGTTAATTTCAAATCCTTAGAAATTGTTCTATTATATCATAGAATCATTAAGTGTCTAAAAGGAGGGTCACTTAATATTTTTAACTAACTTTTGTTGTTATAGCCAAGTTATATTTTAGTGAAACTGACAATAATTTGGGGGTTCTTTCAGGTCATGGGGAATACTGTAGGTAAATTATAGAATATTTATGTTAGCTCTGCTCCTCTCCCCTAGGACAGGTTTTCATATACTTTAGATGCTAGATGTATGGTGTATGAGAATGTGGGTGTATACACATGCCCATGTGTATGTCAACTGAATTTAAGCTTAAGTATGACTCTAAGATATCAGCAAGTAGAGTAGGAAAGCTTCACATCATAAGATCCAAGGAACCAAAAGTTCCCCCCTTACAATGAGTTACCCTCTTCTTTTTATTCCTAGACTTATCATTTTACCCTCATAGTTTTTTGTTTGTTTGTTTGTTTTTTTCTCTTAAGTCATGGAACACTTAATTGAGTGAGATTTTTTACAGAAGCCCAAAATGAAAAACACGTGAAACTGAACTTCTGTGGTAGGTGGCCCAGGTAGCAATGTATGGAATGGTGACTGGTGCTTTTTCCCCCTCCTTCCCTATTATAGAACAGCACGAAAGGCCTCCTTCTAGAAAAAAAAAAAAAAATTGTTTCAGCAAATGGAAACAAACACTGAGCTAACTTAAACCACTAATCCTTACTGAAGTCAGGAGAGAGAGGACGCTGGTAGAGTCCAGATTCTCCTCTGACCATGATGTAACATTTGGCAAACTACTCTCCAAGATTCATTTCCCTCACCCATCAAAGGAGACTAATAATCAAGAAGACTAAATTAGGCACAATTACTATATACTACATAGAAATGTTGATATTATTGTCAGAAGTTCATTCACTCATTTAAACACATATTTATTGAAGACCTGCGATGTGCCAAAAACTATGCTGGGTCCCAGGAAACCAAAGACAAAAAGGCACAATCCTTGCCTTGTAGAACTTTGCTAGTGAAAAAGTCATGCAAAGCTGCTTAAGGGAATTAAGGAAGGCCTCCCAAGAGCACTTGTTCAGTAGCCACAGGAAATGAGGACACAGGATTGGTAATTTAGGGCAAAGAGGAGAGGAAAGTTGTTTCATTCTTTGAGAATGGAGCATTACAAAGACAGGTGGTCTTCTTGGAGTCTTGGTTCTCTCTTGTCATCTTGGCAAAAACTTTAACATGCTGAAGAGCAGGGCTCTCCTCACGTCTCTATAAATCCTGCTTCAGACTGTCTCAATCACTACCCTTCTACAGTCTGTTATAATTATCTGTGTAATTGTCTGTCTTCACCACCATGGTGGGATCTGTGTGTTCTATATTGTGTCCCTAGGCAGTGACTGACAAATGACATCCACTTAATATGAATTGAGTGAAGGAATGGGTGGATGACTTAATGAATAAATAAATAGAGATATAACAGCAAGAATATAGTGTTTGCTTACTTCAAAGTTTACTTTGGATCCTGTTCAACATACTGATGAATCCTAGCCTTTTAGGTAAACATGAAAAGCAAATCCTATCAAGATGATAAGTCAAGAGAGAATATGTTTTCCCCACCCTAATAGGAACAGTGATTCTGCAAATAGCAATATGTCCATGGCACCCTCTCCACAGTATTTAGACTATAGATGATGTGTGCCATCTGGGTCCTTGAGACATTGAAAGATTGCTTCTACCTCTTCTCCATGTACTTGAGGTACATATCACCTCAACATGTAATCTACACAAGGCAAGGATTTATGAGCAATAGGACATCCCTAGAATGAGCAGAGAATAAACAAAATTTTGTGAAAGAGGGATGGGAGGTATGGGTCTCGGGGACGTCTATGCAATAGGGTTTTCATCTTTTATGGACCTGGCAAACAATATCTTTGGGAGACGAGAGCTCAGGCATATATATTTTCAGCTTAACAATCTCACAAATCAATCTGATTATTCAGCAATTCAGCTAGGATCTGCTTTATATCTCGTAAACAAACACTTCTGGTTTTACCTTTTTGGGTTCTGGCATATTATTAATATAAATAGTGTAGATTCCACTTTTATTAAAACCAGCTTGATATACATCTGCACAGTCTCTAAATGGTTTCTCTTCCTCTTTTTTTCCTCCCTTTAGTAAAACTGCAAAAAAAAAAAAAATTGCAATATGTGAACAAGAATATCAGTACCATTAGTACCTAAATGGACTCCAAGTATAGCTAAGCAAGTCTTTATTTCCTCAAAACAAATGCGAATGTTGCATTTACTGACAAATTAATCATAAAGACAATACTAGATTTGAGCTGACTCACAAAATTACAACACTAATGGAAAAATCTGTAGAGCAATTTTTAACTGAATACTTCTTATATTTTGCTTACTTAAATTTTGTTTTTATCTATAATTTTCAGAACATCAACTCAAGGGACAAATGATCTGGTAGTGTAACACTTCCAACTTGTAATAATTATGGCAACTTTTCTCCAAAATTTCTAAAATGTTCTTACCTACATTTCAATGGAAACTTTCAAAAAATGCTAAAACATTTTTGGAGGAGGAAGAGATAATGATAACAAATTCAAACATAAAAATACCATATGGAGGTTTAAAATGCTAAAAGTAGATAGAAATTTTTCTGTGTCTTTGGACTGATAAGCTCCTAGAAATTTTTATTAAAAAAAAAACCCTCAAAATAATTAGATTTATAAAGTAGAAAAGAGCCTCTGACCTAATTTATCCAGAAAGAAAAGGGAACTGAACTTTGTTTTTTACTGAATGCCTGAAGTTAAACTATCAGGCAGATAGTATACAAATAAAAGAACATGAATAAGATTTGAAATTAACTTCTATAGGGGAAGAGTTCAGTAAAGAGGGTAAGCCAAATGAAAAAGGAAATTTAATTAGATAGGCTCTAATGAGAACTTAATTTTATTCACTGACCTTCATCTATTATGAAATTTTTATTACTGAGATCAAAATGCAAAAATGACTCATATTTAGTAGTCCTTTACTAAATGTATGCATGGCACACTTTCAAAATATTTATGATTAGTATCTTCTAACAAATCTATAGTTTAGTAACTGGTTTAATTAACCCTTTCAAGAAGACTTTTTAAGATTATTTTATGACCTTGCCCTTAAAGTCTTATGTTATTTAATAAATACCTGCTTTCAATCACTTTGAATCAGGATGGCCTTTTATAATAAGAATATCAAATTAAATATTAAATATTAAATGATGCTTTTAAATAGATTTTACATGCTCTAATAATCTAAAGCACTAGCCCAAATTAAACTTAAGAAGCACGAGTTTAGATATTTATTTTTAATTACATATAAATTAGTAAGCTGATGGAAAGAATGACTATTTCAATATAAATACTTCAAATTTTCAAAAATAATGATGTTTCAAGGAAATGAAATATCCACTCAGAGATACTGTCCTAACAAAAATATAGAATTATAAGTTTTAATAGTATCATGGTTTTCTATATAGGTCAAGTGTGCACTGATGGTTTTGCCTACTTATATTAATAATTACATCTAAACACCACCATTGCAGTTACAATATCAACACAGAATAAGTAATCAGAGGACTATGCATTCATATGATAGGGAAGAAGCATGGCATAGAAGGTATGCAAATAGCAATTTAAAAATGAATATATAAATGCTTATTCAAAAGCCATCTTTAAATGCAATGGGTGTGTTGACGGGTTATGTAAGGGTATTGGTCTGAAAAACATCAACACAGTTCATTTGCACTTGCTTATTTTAAGTGAATGGACTGCTATTTTTCTAAAATAAAACCTTCCTAAATTCTGTATGTTTAATCTTCTATTGAAACAAGTTGAAAATAACCAAAATTAGATGCAAAAGAAGGGGGGGGGTTGTGAAGAAATGCCAAAATTATGATCCCTTGAGAGGATGAACACAGGAAGATGTGGTCAAAGAGGAATTCATTCAATGGTAAACCCATTTTTCTTTTTTGGGTAAGAAATGGAGAAAGTCACTTATCTAAGGAGAAAATGCTTCTCTTACTGAATATACCACTTCCTGCTCTTCCTTATTTAGTTATGCAGTGAGAATATACTCCATTCCCACTTCTCTGTCACCTCCTATTCTCTTTCCTTTCCTACTCAGGAAGATCTTGGTGAAAGGCTGTTGTGTGGGAAGAGGGAAACCCACACACATTTTTAATAACAGAGAAAAAGAAAAGAACTTGAATATTAGCTTATTTTTATGGAAACTAATTGTATAAAAATGATGTTCAAGCCATGAATGTTAAGTCTTATAACTAGAAAAATGGTTTAAAGATTCCATCATAAAAGGTACAAATAGTACTATGGTTATACTATGGATTTGTTGTTATTATAATGGCAACATACCTTATGAAGATATTTCATTTTCTTGAAATATAGTTTGGTATTTTTTAAAAAATAGAAACACATTCTTTCCAAAAGAAATGGTCATTCTTTCCAGAAAGACTGGAGTGCTTCTATTTAATTATTCATTAATTAGTAAACATCATGTCTGAAAGTTTAATCCGGGCTATATTTTACAGTATTAAAGCACTTAAGATCAATATAAAAGCTCCATTCCCAGGTTACCTTTGACATTTGTATTATATACCATGGTTTGAAAAAGGCCCTTCCATAAAAGTAGACTGATCTTTAGTTTTTCTTTTTTCAATCTACAAAGTAGGGCAGTTAAACATATCTCTGATTATGTAACACAAAGCAGAGTGACTGAAATAAAAGAACTCAAGAAATGGTAGTTATTGTTATAGTAATAGTAATATTATTATTAATGGAAAGATTATATTATTATTCTTTCTTTCAGAAGTGACACCAGTAGGCTGGAGAAAGCCAGCAAGTCCAGTCAATGGAATAGTGGATCTTCCACCCTCAAAGCCAGTATTATAGCTGACCAAATGTTAGGGCAGTTACATTTGACTGGTTATATTTAGGGTTATATTGAAAAGTCCTCTCCTTATCAAAGTTAGCTAACTGGTTTATTTTGTTCATTGACTATATCATATCATACCATTGTTTAAATCTAAAAAAATCCAAGTAATCTAATCTTACTGCATATATAAACTTAATCTGAATAGTTCAAAGATAATTTCAGATGAAATGACATATGATGTACATAACAACACATTGATTGCAGAAGTTTTATCTCATAACTTTAATTTGCATGACTAATTATTTTCTTTGTCATGTATTAGGTATATTATGGTTACATACTGTAAAACTAGACACATAATAAACATTTTAAAACAAGGACAATAAGGGCGCCTGGGTGGCTCAGTGGGTTAGAGCCTCTGCCTTCGGCTTAGGTCATGATCCCAGAGTCCTGGGATCGAGCCCCGCATCGGGCTCTCTGCTCCTCAGGGAGCCTGCTTCCTCCTCTCTCTGCTTTCCTCTCTCTCTGCCTGCCTCTCTGCCTATTTGTGATCTCTGTCTGTCAAATAAATAAATAAAATCTTAAAAAAAATAAAACAAGGACAATAAAAAGATGATTTACTGACCATTAAAAGTGTCAGAACTAAGGATACATTTTTGTAGGAGGTCTTGAGATTCAGTAAAGTGGAAGATAATATCTAAAGGAAGGTATGGTGAATGATAAGATACAGATATGGAAAATGTGATGAGAGAGGATAAAAGAAGCATCAACTGGACAGAGCCAGGGGAAATGGACAGCTGATTGAGGTGTTTATCTGTCAAAGCAGCTCAGACTTCTTATAATAATAGACTGGTTAAAAAGCATGAATTAAAAAATTGATCTTTATATCTAAAAGTTCCTCTTTGACATTATGCTCTTTTTTTCCTCTCCCTTTAGTTCTTAATGAGTTAGTCTTTCCTCTAATTGAGAATCTGGATCCCCACCATTACTATTAGTCCCTCATTAGCTTCCCTTTCCTTTTTTCCTAACTTCTATCTCACTGTCAAGCAGTGGGGTTAAAAAACAGTTCAGGTGGAATTCCTGGTGCTCTCCACCCACTGTCCTTTCATCTACAAATCCCTTGCCTGGGTAAAACCCAACTCAAAGAAGGACATTTATTCATTTTCTCACCCCTGCTTCCAGATTGCAAATACTGAAGAGAGGCTTTTTAATGCCATCCAAATGCATGTTTTCTAAACACAGCTATGTTCTTCGTGCTGCTCAGTCAAACCTTTGGTCATTACTAATAGATTTTTTTAAAGATTTTTTTTTTTTTTTTAATTTTAGAGAAAGACAGCAAGGGAACATGAGCAGGGGAGGGGCAAAGGGAGAGGGATAGAGAATCTCAAGCAGACCCCAGCATGGAACCCCATACAGGGCTCAATTTCACTGCCCTGAGATCACAACTTGAGATGAAATCAAGAGTCAGATGCTTAACCGACTGAGCCACCCAGGTGCCCCTAGATTTTCTATTACATTTCCTAAAAAGTTTTCAAGGCTAAATCTTAATCCTATCATCTCTCATTCTTTATATATCACCTTGTTTTATGGTTTACTATGAAGATCAAAGCCATTTATTCCCCCATACTACTGAAGTTGGCCTTGCCTATCTTTCCCCTTGCCTTTTGTGTTGACCTCTCTTGGTCCCTTTTCTCTGTCTTTTCTCTTTCATCTTCATTGGGTTCTCTTCCTCTCCTCATCTACCATATAGATGTTGACTCGATTCTCAGATCTCTATTCCTTATACATTGCACTTTTTGCAAACTATCATGCCTTCAAACTTCTACACATTAAGTTTCTGATATAAGCATTTTTGATACTGTATGTTTGCTTTTCTCTTGACCTCCTGATTCATATTTCTATTTGTCTGTTGGGCTTTTCTTACTGATACCTCAACTTTCATTTGCTTAACATTGTCTAATCTTTCCTTTCAAATTCTGTGTTCTTTCTCTTACAGTCCCACTGGTTCCACTATACTCGTCAGTTGCCATCAGTTAAAAAATAATGACGACCCAAATATAAGACAAATAGACTGGTTTTTTTTTTATTAGTTTCTCAACTTAATAGGTTGTCTCCTGTCTCCTCTTAATTTAATCCACGCTATACTGGGACACCTGGGTGGCTCAGTCAGTTAAGCATCTGTCTTTGGCTCAGGTCATGATCCTAAGGTCCTGGGATAGAGTCCTTCATCAGGA